CCGGTGGGCGGGAGGTTTATTCGCGAGGGTTGTTCGCGAGAGAAGATTGAGATCGCGAGAGAGTTTATGTGAGTTCCTAAACAAACACCGTCACTTTAATTAGTAATATATAAGTCGCGCGTCGCGACATGCCCCGCGACTCGCGAGAAAAACAACATACGACAACAATATATTGTGGGACAACTCGCGACTCGCGACACGGTCGCGAGTCGCGACCATCAGCTCGCGAGTCGCGAAAAATAGCCCGCGAGTCGCGGAAAAAACTGGGACCGATGACATATTTAGTGGGCTAACTCGCGACTCGCGACATTACTCGCTTTTTCTTTTTTTTTTTTTATATAGAAAAATGCAAAACCAAAATAGAAAAGTTACCTACCGAATTAACCAAAACGAAAAATAAAACAAAATGCAAAAAGAAAAAGGGAGAGATACAATCATACAGTGCACAGTGACTATAATAGTCACTGTGAATTCGGTGGTGCTGGCGGAGGATGGAGATAGTCAGGCCCCGGACAGCGGCGGGCGCCTGCCAAATCATATCTTTCGCTCCAGTGGAAACGTGGCAGCTCCATCGAACTCGGCCTGGAGGGAACAGTGTGATGGTTGGTATGGACATGACCCCGCCATTGCATTGGCGGCTCAAGCTGGGACCCTCGGGCGGAGATGAAAGTAGATTTACCCAACACCATCATGCTTGCAATCCTCTTCTTCACATCAATTATTGTGTTGGTGATCGCCATAAAGGGTCGTCCGAGGAGGATGGTGTGCTGATACCCGTTCTCTCTAACATCCCCCACCTCAAGAACCACAAAATCAACGGGGACTATCAGCTTCCCCACTCTTACCTGGACATCTTCCACAATCCCTTCGGGTTGACGGAGCGAGTGATCAGCAAGCTGTAGACTCATCCTGGTGGGCCTCAATCCGACGAGTCCAAGTGTCCGATAGATAGATAAGGGCATCAGATTTATGCCTGCCCCAAGGTCTAACATCCCCGATACAACTTTCCCACTCTCAAAAGCTACGTCGATCACAAACTCACCGGAGTCACGTTCATTCTTCTCCTCCAAAAGTTGGCTGGGGAAAGGAATCTTCAGCCTGAATGGGTTCGGAGATTTGTGTAATGTTGGCTCAGCCAGCAGCGTCACTGGAGTTTCTTGCTTCTTTGGGCCCTCTTCTTCTTCTTCCTTCTCGTCGCCTACAATCTCCCTCTCAATGTCTGGCAAAATCACAGTCACTGCATTCACATGATCAGGCTGACTAGGCAACTTTCTCTTGTTCAATTCAGTCTCAATGATTCCGACCCGAGCAGCCAGTTGGCCTAACTGAGTCTCAATGCGCTTGATGGAGGCATCCTGATTGGCATCTCTCTGCTCTCTGTTAGCCATAAACTGAAGGATTTTGGCAACATCGTCTTGAATGTTTGAACTTGACCCTGCTTCTAGTCCCCTCTGCTGCTGCTGCTGTGGCTGGTAGTTCGGACGGGGCACGAAGTTGGGTCGAGGTTGTTGCTGCATGAAATTTGGACGGGGTGGCTGAAGGGTGTTCGAGTTATTCGACCATGAGAAAGTTGGGTGATTCCGCCATCCCGGATTGTACGTATTCGAATATGGGTCATTGCCAGGCCGGGATTGGTATCCTTGTAAGGCGCTGGCATCTGCATACTGCTCACCGAACTCCTGGTCGAAAGCTGAAGGGCACACTTCAGAACTATGGCCTGGGACTCCACAAGCCCCACACGTGTCAACGACCATGGTCTGAACCGGCTGAGCTCCTCGTGCATTAAGTAGACGCATTTGCTCTGTGAGCTCGGCTAACTGCTGGGCCATCACATTGCTTCCCGGCCCGACCTCATTCACTACCACTCTCTTCCCTCGGCTGCTCTTCTGCGATGAGTTCGTGCTCATCGTCTCGAAAATTGCAAACATCTCCTCAGCTGTCTTTGCTCCAATATCTCCTCCAGCCGCATTGTCAACCATATACTGCAAGTTCTGATGGAGGGAGTCGTAGAAGCAGTTGATCAGTAGCCTCGGAGAGAGGTTGTGATGAGGACACTGCCGCTGGAGATCCTTGAACCGCTCCCAAGCCTCGTGAAGAGGCTCGTTCGATAGTTGAGCAAATGAGACGATCTGCGACCGGAGCTCCTGGGTCTTCTGATGGGAGTAGTACCTCCCAATGAACTTCGTGTATACTTCAGTCCAGGTAGTGAGAGAGTCCGGTGCGAGGGTCATGAACCAGGACTTGGCCCGGTCCTTCAGTGTCTCGGGAAAACACCTCATCTTCAGTTGCTCTTCTGTAAGCCCGTGGAGAGGGAAGGTCTGTAGCACATTGTAGAATTCCCGAATGAAGTTAAGCGGGTCTTCATTCGGGAGCCCGTGGAAGGATGGCAGCTGGTTGTAATGGATCATCTTAAGCTCGTAGTTCCGAGCTTCTTGTGGCAACCGGATGCATGAGGTTATCGGCCCAATTGTCGGATGGGCTAGGTCTCGAAGGGTGTTACGAGGCGGTTGTTGCTGTTGTTCATCCATGACGACGTTACTGCCTTCTGACGATTTCGGGGAGTGCTCGTTTCCTTCGTTAGATTCGAGAGTGAGCTCTTCCAGCAGCTCCCTCAGGCTCTCGTTCACTGATTTGTTGATCGGAGATAGCAATTTGCGTCCACTCCTGGTACGCATACACTAAGACCAACAAGGGTTACGAGCACCAATGATAAAAACAAAATAAAACCTAACAAATAAAAAGAAATCAAGAGAAACACGGAAACAAGGAAAATCACAAGAAATAAGAGAAACACAAAAAAAACAAATAGGCGCACAATTATAGTCCTAAACCATCCCCGGCAACGGCGCCAATTTTGTTGTCAGTATTTTTACTGGAGTAGAATCGAAAGATTCGTCCCCGGGTCGTATCGCAAGGAAGGTTAGCCGGATATTCTTGTGCGATTATTCAATCACGAAAAAGGGAGAAAACAAATTCCTAAACACTCTAGTTCAATATTTGGAGTTTTGATTATCAACTACTGATTTAAACTGAATAAAATGAAAGCAAATAACAAACGAATTTACTGAATGATTAAAGTGCTAGGGAATCGGGGATAACTGCTTTCGCTTCTAACACAATCAGCGGCAATCGATTGCTCGGTTAAAGGTCTTGAATCGTTTCTCGTTCAGAGGTTCACTCTCAATAACTCTTCGTAACAAGAGAGTGAACGTTAACGATTAACTATCAATTCCAACAACACATAGATTATACGCTTCCGAACAAATCTATTCTAAACGAGCCTAATTCTACCAACGTCTCCCCTCTCGGTTCTACACGTTGATTATCTAGGTTAGAAAGGTGATCAATCTACTAACCCTAAGATTCACACAACTCGAATAGACAAGAACAATCAAAAGCACTCAATTATACAAACCTAATCAATCATCCCCTATCCCTAGCGAATGGATTTAGCTACTCATATGGAATTCAACATCAACATTTAAATTAACCTAAGCCATCATCATCAACAAAACTATTGAAAAAAAGAACTTACGATTAATATAAAGTACCAACGTCGAATCCAATGAACAATCCAGATCCAAAGCGAAGAAAAGGAGTTTTTCAATCTCCAAAACCAATCAAAAGTGCAAAAGAAAGAAAAGGAATGGGTTTTTCTCCAGAGAGAACGTAAAAACAAAGTCTGAATGTGGAATAATAAACCTAGGATCAAAAACAGCATTAAAAATCCCGCTCCTCGAAAAACGCGCTGGTTAAGTCGCGACTCGCGACTTGAGTCGCGAGTCGCGAGATGGTCTTTGTCTTGGTCGCGAGTCGCGACTTCCTCGCGAGTCGCGCGTCGTCTTCTTCTTTAAATTCAGGGGCTTGGTCGCGACTTGACCCGCGAGCCGCGAGTCCATCTCGCGAGTCGCGACCTTGACTCGCGAGTCGCGACTCGTTCTTCGGAAATCCCCTTTAGCCTCAGTTTTCCCCGCGAGTCGCGACTCAGCTCGCGAGTCGCGAGACGACTTGCGAGTCGCGAGAAATTCTGCCTTGGTTTCTGTCCGTTTTTTCGGTCCACTTCGTCGTCTTCTTGGCTCGGCCAACGGGAATTCTCGATATCATGGTCTTGGCTCAAACAGTTCCATCCTCGACCGACACAACCTACCTCCTGAAAACACAAATACAGAAAAACACGAAGCAAAACACGGCAAAAAGATACAAAAATATAAACTAAAGACAAAAACACAAAACGAACGAAATGGACCAAATAAACTACAAAAATCCTACAAATGGGGGAAAACAAAAAGAAAATAAACATGAAATAAAGACACAAAATGGGACAAACATATATCTTATAGTTTATAGTATATAGTTTGTAGTTTATAGTTTATAGTTTATAGTTTATATCTTATATCTTATATGTTATAGTTTATATCTTATATCTTATATCTTATAGTCTTATAGTTTATATCTTATAGTTTATAGTTTATAGTTTATATCTTATATCTTATAGTTTATATCTTATATCTTATATCTTATAGTCTTATAGTTTATATCTTATAGTTTATATCTTATATCTTATAGTTTATATCTTATATCTTATAGTTTATAGTTTATATCTTATAGTTTATAGTTTATAGTTTATATCTTATATCTTATATTTTATATCTTATATCTTATATCTTATAGTCTTATAGTTTATATCTTATAGTTTATATCTTATATCTTATAGTTTATATCTTATATCTTATAGTTTATAGTTTATATCTTATAGTTTATAGTTTATAGTTTATATCTTATATCTTATAGTTTATATCTTATATCTTAAATGTTATAGTTTATATCTTATAGTTTATATCTTATATGTTTATAGTTTATAGTTTATAATTTATATCTTATATCTTATAGTTTATATATTATATCTTATATGTTAAATGTTACAATTTACATATTATATCTTATAGTTTATATCTTATATAGTATATGTTAAAATATGTTATAGAATATTATACTATATGTTATATACTATATACTATATATTATAATAATATATACTATATGTTAAAATATATATACATATATACAATATATTAAAAAAAAAAAAAAAATTAAAGAAACCGTATTTGCTGAATACGGTTTACAATTAAATCTTACAGAAACCGTATTCAGCAAATACGTTTTCTGTAAGATATAGCCAAAAAAAATTCAGTCGTCTTCCTCACGACACAGAGAGACGAGAGAGCGAGCGAGAGACAGAGCGAAAAAAAAAATTCCGCCCACCCGAAAGCCGCCGAGCCACCGCCGCCAAGAGCCACCGCCGCCGCGCCACTGCCGCCGCGCCACGACCGCCGCACCACCACCTCAACTGCAAATCGAACGGATCAATTAGGTAAAATGCCTAAATTTTTTTTTAATTTTTTAAATAAATACGAATTATCATAATACGTTTTTAAGTTAGGATTTCATTATAATTTGATGTTTTAGAGTGTAAGGGTTGATTAGAATTAGAGATTTTTCGGAATTATGACGTTAGGGTTTCGATTTAGAACTTCGAATTAGGGCTCGAAACTATAATGTTGTTGAAAATGTGAAATTGTGAAATTGTGAACTATTGTGTGTACTATTGTGTGAATTAGTGTGTGAAGTTCGATTTTTCGGAATTAGGACTACAAATTGGACTTCGAATTGTGAAATTGTGGACTCGTTAGAATTAGGTGTTTCGCGAGTGTAGCCGAGAGCCGAGGCCGTTTGATTTTCATTATTTCGAGCCGATTAGTTTATTACGGAAGAAGCTAAAATGGAATTTAATTGAGTTGAGTTGCAAGTTATATTGAGGAGCCTATTATTTTTCTAATAAATTACATATAATCCTTATAGTTTTTTTCTTAATTGTTTGTAGATAAATGGATTCATCATCCTCCTCACAGCCTCAGCAGTACAGTGTCCATCCCGGTTCGAGGGATGGCACTCTTCTATATCTCCAGTACCGCCACCGGTCGCAGGCGGTATTTAATAATGCGCCGGGAGCTCGTGACACGACGCTCTCAAACCGCCGTTTCGACACCCAGTTCTGGGCGGCTTTGTCAAGCCAGCCACGGTCGGTTTGGGATGTCATCGACCGGACTGGTTTCGGACCCTTGTTTCGAATGGGTCGAATCCAAGCCGACAACAGCCTCCTTACTGCTCTAGTGGAGAGGTGGCGCCCAGAGACGAATACATTCCATTTCGATTTCGGCGAGGCCACCATCACGCTCCAGGACGTACAAGTCCTATTCGGTCTGCCAATAATTGGTGCTGCTGTTGTGGGAGTGACTAGAGATCTAACACCCCTACAGTGGCGAGAGAGGTGCAAGGAGTTGCTAGGGTACCAACTGTTGGGTTCGATAGTACCGTACGAGCTGTACGCAGCGGAATTTAAAATTTTTTAAAGTAAGTATTTATCGTATAAATACAACACCCGTACATACTAATTGCGAATTAACTGATCGTCATCTTTAAAACATGCATCATATACAAATTTTGATTTGTTACTATAAAGTAAATACTAGTAAAAATATTTACCGAATGTCTTGAACTCCTTCACTATTGATGATGGATGAGGGAATCGGTTCCCGGTTGTAACTTCAACGACTTGAGGTTACTCGCTAGAGGAATCCAAGTGTCTTCCCTCTAAACGTATCCACCCTATGAAGCCCGGTTCCGACGACTTTCCTTCGCTAGTAGAAAAGACTCGGTTTTCTTGTATAGGAATATTTATGAATTTTATTTGGGAATTTTAAGAACTCTTTCTTGAAGTTTTATGAAGAACACTTTCTTCTCTTTCTAACACTTAGAAATTTAGGATCAAAAACTTCACTTAAATGCAAAACCATTTTGCATATATTTATACTAAACATTTTAGCATAAAATAATCAACATTTAGTAATATTAAATAAAATCAAATTTTATTTAAATAGTATTTACTAACTTTTGACTTTGAAAATAATAAGATATGTTAAGTAGTTCAAACAACCATCAACAACCATTTTATTATAATCATATTTATTATTTTAATCCTTAAATCATATTTAAAGATATAAATAATAATTGGATAATAAATCTTGAGAATCTTTCTCAAGACTTTATTATTATATCATTTTCCCAATATTATAATAATCATATTATTATTATTTTGGATTTTTGAAATTTAAAATCCTATTTTAAAATTCAACTTTATTAATTTAGTAATTACCTTAATTACTAAAGTAATATCCAAAATGTAATTAATCAATCTTATTGATTAATATATTCCTTTAATTGATATCTAATCAAATTAGATATTTATCAATTAATTCTAACCATTAGAAATACAATCTTTACCTTTGTTCATAATTAGTGTGACCTTTTAGGTTCACCTTAATACTAGTAGTGGGTTTACAACACTTTGTAATTTGAGTTAAATCTTATTAACTCTTATTCATGAATTAACCCTTTAATTTATGAACCCACATATCATGGTAACACCTAGCAAGTAGCATGAATCTAGTATTAAGTGAATAGCGAGTAAACCTATTCCGATTACAACTCCATACATGTAAAATCCTTTCGACATCTAATTTCCCGATTAAGTCTTGGGTATGATTTTGTCGAAACCCAAATTGACTTAATAACTATGATTCTATTTCATGTTTATTAACCCGGTTATGAATCACTATTCATCTCTGCCTTGGCCAAGGACTTTGGATTAATAACTATGAAACACATAGGAAATTCACTTATCTTCATAAGTGTCGAATCCTTTATTGGCCACTAACAAACTTCCATACATATTAACATAATACCCAACTTATCCCTTTAAACGATAGTGCTAGCTACCAAAAGGATAAATCAAAGTAGAATGTAATATGCACAAAGTTACCATTGTGCCTCAAGTCTTAGGATTAGTCATGTACTATTGTAACATGAAAATTCTTATTCGACTGAATAAATTCTTCATTAAGAATTTTCATACGGTCATGTTCAGTGAACTTGTTCTCTAACAAGCACCCACATAAATGTACTTACGTCTTACGCTAATGTTGATGGAATGCAACATTCTTGTCCAACAAGCATACAAACTATGTGCAAGTCTTTTATGGATTATTCGATATCCCATCTCGAAACATCCATCGACTTGGAACTGTATTTAAGATCACGGCTTTCAAGGTATGTTCCATGATCACCATCTCTATGCGCAACCATACCTTATAACCATAAGTGATCTAGGGATTTTATCTTAAGTGCAATTATAAGATAAATGCTTTCTCTTAAGATAAAGAAATGCCTTATTCATAATATAATTCCAATAGACTGTATTTACAAGTAGAATACGTCCAATTAGATTGGAACGCCGGGTACCCTACTCTAACAATCTCCCACTTGCCCTAGTTCCAATCACTCATGTATCTAAGACCCATCTTCTCAAGATGTCCTTCGAACACTTTCTGTGATAAGGGTTTAGTTAAGGGGTCTGCTATATTTTCTGCTGAGTCGACTCGCTCCATCACGACATCGCCTCTACCAATGATTTCTCTAATCAAATGGTATCGCCTCATAATGTGTTTGGATTTTTGATGAGATCTTGGCTCCTTTGCTTGCGCAATAGCCCCATTGTTATCACAATAAATCATTATTGGATCAACAACGGATGGTACTACACCCAACCCTTGGATAAAGTTCCTTATCCAAACAGCTTCTTTTGCAGCATCAGATGCAGCAATATATTCAGCCTCTGTCGTAGAGTCAGCAATTGTTTCTTGTTTGGAACTTTTCCAACTAACTGCTGCTCCATTCAGAGTAAATAAGTATCCAGACATGGATTTATAGTCGTCTTTATCGGACTGAAAACCAGAATCAGTAAAGCCTTCTAGTTTCAGTTCTCCATTGCCGTATACCATAAAGATATCCTTAGTCCTTCGTAAGTACTTAAGAATCATCTTAACGGCTTTCCAGTGTTCTTCACCTGGATTAGACTGATATCTGCTCGTTACACTAAGTGCATGAGCCACATCAGGTCTTGTACATAACATTGCATACATAATGCTACCAATAGCTGATGCATAAGGTATATGACTCATCCGTTCTCTTTCTTCAGGTGTCTTTGGAGACATCGTCTTAGAAAGAGAAATCCCATGACTCATTGGAATATATCCTCGTTTGGATTCTTCCATGCTAAACCGTTGTAGCACCTTATTTATGTACGTCGACTGGGATAGTCCGATCATCCGTTTAAATCTATCCCTATAGATTTTTATCCCTAGGATAAAGGATGCTTCTCCCAAGTCTTTCATGGAAAACTGTTTTGACAACCATGTCCTAGTTGACTGCAACATCCCTACATCATTCCCAATGAGTAGGATGTCATCAACATATAGAACAACAAATGTAACTGCACTCCCACTAACCTTCTTATAAACACATGGTTCATCCGGATTCTTATGAAAATCAAACGTTTTGATCGTTTCATCAAACCGAATATTCCAACTCCTCGAAGCTTGTTTAAGTCCATAAATAGACCTTTGAAGTTTACAAACCATTTGTTCACTCCCATTGGATATGAAACCTTGCGGTTGTTTCATATAAATGTCTTCCTTAATATTTCCATTAAGAAAAGCAGTTTTCACATCCATTTGCCATATCTCGTAGTCATAATACGCAGCTATGGCTAGCAATATCCGAATAGATTTAAGCATTGCTACTGGTGAAAAAGTTTCCTCATAATCAACACCTTGTTTTTGAGTATAACCTTTAGCAACCAGTCTTGCTTTAAAAGTATTTACTTCTCCATCTACACCACGTTTTCGCTTGTAAACCCATTTACAACCTATGGGTACAATACCCTGTGGTGGATCAACCAAAGTCCATACTTTGTTTGAATACATGGAATCTATTTCGGATTGCATAGCTTCTTGCCATTTATCTGAGTCAATGTCCAACATTGCCTCATCATAGCTTATTGGATCATTATCCAAAAGGAATCCCTCTTCATTGTCTTTTGACAATAGGTATAGCCTTTCAGGCGCCCTAGAAACCCTTTCGGATCTCCGAAGAGGTTGTGTTTTAGATGGTCCAGTCTCTACTGGTATGTTTTCCGTGGTACTTAGTGGAATTTGTGGTTGTTCTTCATTAAGTTCTATGACTCCGCTATTCTTTGAGATAAAATCTTTCTCTAAGAATACAGCATTCCTCGAAACAAACACCTTTTGTTCAGAGGGATCATAGAAATAGTATCCAATAGACTCTCTAGGATACCCCACAAATTTACATAAGATGGATCTCATATCCAACTTACCTCCCACTAACTGCTTTACATAAGCAGTACAACCCCATACTCGTAAATATTTGTAT